AGAAGGGGAGATATTAAACACTCAAGTTTCACGATGTAGCATTGTCGCTCCTCACTGGGCGCTATTAGGGTCTATGTCCCCAGGTATTTGCCGGAACGTAAAACTGGTAATATGTGAGGTATGGGTACGGGTTTAGGGGTGTCGTAGGCGACTCCTATAGGACTCGTTAGTGGATTAAGGTGGAGGTCGGTCCGCCATAAGATAGTGACAGGGTACTATTCGGGATATACCGGACCGTACGCAGGGTAGTTTCGGTATACCGGACCGTACCCAGGTACGTTCAGCAGTACCTGGGCGACATAGGACCCTTCAAGCCTCACTGGGAGCGCATCCCATCTTCTTCCCCGAAGTACGGGATGCACCAAGCTCACACTCTCACATCGCATGCGCCACACACATAAACCCGGAGTTTCCGTTGTTTCATGTACATTAACAAAGATTAAAGTCCGATAATTTATATACAAGTATGCGTTTTATTTTTTAATGAAGAATAGCAAACACATCAAACGCAATCAAAGTATAATAGACAACTATATACGACACATTTTAAGGCCTATGGTATTTGCGAGCTAGTGAACCTGCCGAGACGGAGTGTGCGCTTTAAGCACCATTTACCAAAATTAATTGAGGGCGCACAAAACAATACAAATTTTCTGTTATCAATAAAAGCCAACCTTTACAAAGTTAAATGTTGCATTTGAAATTAATTAACAAAACAGCACGAAGCTTGTAACACATTAATACGCATATCGTCGGCTGTTGAATCAAGAAGAGCTAAATACATTATCAAAATCTGCAATCTCTCATCATTTTAAAACCTCATTAAGGCTTTCATTCTTTGTTTTGATTATGTGTTAATACATTGGTATTTTTATGAACAAACGAATTTTTTCTGCTTGGCGTCATTCACACAGCACACAGTATTTAAAAAGCCATGAATCAATTCTAATGAGCAATCACTTGTATGATACAGTAAGTATCAGCGAGAAAATACAAACAAATTTGTTGTTATTTCACTCATGGAGAAATATTAGTATTAATTTAATGGTAACAAAGTTGGGTTACGTGAGTTCTTCTTAATTTCACAGTAAATTCTGTAAGGAGTATAGCGAATGTAAGATCGTATTCTACTTCTTCGGTTTCACCTAGCAGTAAAAATAGCAAGCGACATCACCATTACATCGAACACTGCGCACTTATGGCACGCGACTGCTGGATGATATCACTCGCACAGACCACTGCTTAGCCATCTAGGGATAACAAGTGGCGTTTATGGCCTAAAACAGATGGTAACATCGCAAGCATATACGCATTGCCTGACATGAGCCGGCCCTCTCCTCATCCTCTCTCTTCCTCTCCTCGCAACCTTCCCCACGTTTT